CAAAGAATGACTTTAGGGGTGGGGGGGGGGGGAGAGGAATTTCTCTTTGGGCATCGTCTTACACTTGAAAACAATAAAAGGTGGCCGCTTGTGGCCATCGGCGGTGCAGCACAGCATTACCGTTAAATGGTTGTGCTCATTGCCAGTAGTAATCGGGCGCACTGGCTGCTCACCTTTGGCTGACATGGTCCTACTAGGCATATCTAACAAGACAGGTGTTTGATCGACGTTGCCAATCTGGCTGAGCATGTAGGCATGTTCCAGCTTCCATTCACTGACGAAGTTCAAGAAGGCCTATTTTTTGTCGTCCTATTCCTTAGGTGTCTGACAAATTGTCGTGCACTGCCTAGGCTCAGCCGTGCCTATTCATGAAATTGGTCACCCCTTTCTTGAAAATTTCAAATTCACTGTGAGCGATTTCCAATGCATTCCCAATGCTGCAATCCTTTACCTAAATGTCCTCATAAGACATGCAAGGTTTTTCTCCCGCTGTTCGCAAACCCATTTGTGGACAGCTTCCTCGATGGCAGGGTATTTTCCTTCTGTGGGTTCCCGGAACAACTTTTGCAATCCAGTGCACGGGAGAAGTTTATCTCTTTGTTGCCGCCAGCACCGCACACATTTCTCCAAAACGCCGAATTCACGTTCTGCTGAAAGGATGTTTGTCGAATCAGCATAAAGCATCACATTGCGCTTCAACGCGGCACTGTAGCTGCGTCGATGTGTTGGAGCCATTTTGATACAGACGGGAGGGCGAGCACAGCGTGAGCTTGCCAGGCCTATGCAGAACGACCACGCACCGCCCACAATGCACTCCGATGGTCGCGAACTGATCCAAAGCCCATGCCAAAGCCCATGTCGAAGCTGAAGCCATTCGTCCAGCCTCCTAGAACTGTGCGTGCAAGAGGATCTCTGAAGGCTACATTCGCCACGTTGACCTACCGTACCGTATGAACAATCAGTAACGTACTTAGAAATTAGGTAAAATATATTATGTTAATTGTTTTTGCTATATAAAAATATAAAATATATGCATAGTAATAACCTTGGTAAACGTTGGATGCCTTGTGATTATTTTTTTTTACGTATAAGCCTACCCCCATAAATTTGGCACTCCAATTTAATAAAAATTCGACTTATATGCGGCAATATACGGTATGTATTTGCCATATAATATTTTCACCGCTACTTTAAGGAACTAAGTTAGCACACAACAATAATACTAACTACAACCAGTAACATACTAGTAAATCAAGCTTATGATGGAGCACACACAAGTTGTTAATTATTTTCTATAGTTTCCTTGCTTTTAGGTTTTTAAAATAACGGTTTTCATGCACTTTTCTCAAGCTATGACATCATCACTTACCATGGCAGTTCCCACGGAACGTAGCTTTGCAGTTTCTTAGAAAGAAATCGCGACAGAAACAAAAGCTTAGTTGACAAGAATGACCACAAAAGAGAGACAGAGCCTGTTCTGTTTTCTTTTCAATCAGTTCCACGTCTTCATGCACTGTTTACGACTTGAGCCTCTTAACACAGCAAATTCCAATGCCTTCGCAGTTTTTGTTTCATTCAGTTTAAGTATTATGAGCCTGTACTATCATCAGGGCCCCCTTCGACCAAATTTAGGCTCATGAGAGATACAACATGTACCCCAAAGCCAGTAAAAAGCCTTCTAGTGGTGTGCCTAAATGAATAATGTGACCCACCAGCTAGAATGCTTCATAGAATAAGTTTTCACCATTGCCAAAAAAGACCACTGGCCACTGAAATAAATTGTTGTATGCCATAATGCCGACGTGAATTAACCAAAGGTAGCATTTCCAAAGAGCTAGCATTCCTGTAAACAGTGCATACAGTAAAACTACTTTATAAGAGACATTGATGTAACAAACAGGTATAAGAGACACCAGTGTGCCCATGTTAAAACAGGCATTGATAGCAAAATGCAGACATGCTACCCTGCTTTTAAGAGACATTTTGTCTCTTATAACTACGAATCCACCTATTTTACTGAAATTTGAAATGTGAGGTTGGTAGTTGTCGACTAAAAATTTGAACCCAAAGTAGTACCGCCATTTATGGTGGAACATAAAAAAAATTGGGCCACTGTGGCAGGAACATTAGATTTGCTTTCTGGCTTTACCTGTAGTAAAAGATCATTCCAGACATCTGTTTCAATTTAATTTTACATTCTCGACTTTTATAACATTGCTGTTTGCCATCAAGGGTGCCCCTTTGATGAGCAGCTTTTTCTTCGAGAATCAGCATTCGCATAAGAGTCATGCACACCATTACAGAGGTGGTGGTGGTTCACGGAGGAGCTAATTTTCTTTTTTGATGCGTCCGTTCTTTATTATTTGACGGCTCCACACAAGGACTGGAACTGAATTCAGGGTGCTTTGGCTCCTCCTTGCAACACCCTCACGGCCTTCGTCTCTCTCCATGTGAGCATTATGAAGAGTACCGACACTTCCCAGGGTCACCACCCACCAAGGTTTCGTTACTTACTATGTGAGCGGCCGTGCAAAAAGGCACCACCGGCTCCTCTGGACTGGGTGCTACAACTGTGCTCAATTACTGTGCTCTATCATCCGCTTGTTCGCAGTAGCGTTGAAATATGCCAGCAGTGCAACCTTTATACCAAAAAAACAAAAGAGACTCAGCACACTGAGTCAGTACATCATAAATGTCATGTTTACTTTGAGAAGATTGACGCTAACAAAGCGGTACTGTCTAAAAAATGAAAAGAAAAGCTAGGCAGTCTTGCAAAGTGAACAATAACTGTTTTTTATCTATGACATTACACAAAGGTGCGAGTCCTATAATAAAGCAGCATTTATCCTTCAGCAAGGTCAATAAAAAATTATAGGTAAACTTAGGCACCATTCTTCAACAGGCACGCATTTCGTTTTTGTAGATTCCACAGTGCTGCCAAAAAAAGTTGTTGTCAAGTACAGTGTGCAGCAAAATGCGGGCAAGTTTTGACGTGTGATGCTATGCACAAGGATTTTTGTGGCCTTAGGTCAAGTCAGGAAACTTTCTCGAGCTTCTAGCAAAGATAAGCAGACTACCCAATCTGTCAATAAATTTGCACCATAAAATGAATGCACACATATTTTTAAATGCTAAAAAGTGGGGGTGCTGACCTACATTTGAGTGAACTTACCATAGCGTAAATACGGCATCTTGCACAAAGCCTTTACTAGCTGGCCTGAAATGATGGTGCCTGCAGCCAACTTCCATATATTACAGTCTCTAAAATGAAAATAATAACCCCACTTGCAACACACAACAACAAACCAAATGTCACTGGTTTCATTGCTTTGCTGGTTAACCACTTTTTAAAAAAATATTTGGTCTGAGTTATATGAAAAACCCTGTATACTGCCTTGGTGTAACGATGAGGTCAGGTTAGGATGACCGCACCATCTCGAATGACACATCTGACATGACAGCTTGTTTCTTTTGCATTCAATGCTTGCTGTAAATATGCTTATTGTAATCACTAACAGCCCAGTCTGAAATGCATTGTAAATGTGTTTGTAGATTCAAACGAAACTTTCGTTCAGCCAACAAGAGCCGATATTATGTGAGTACCACCTATGTGCTACCTACTTGGTCAGGTCTCTAATACAGCAGGCCACTTAAAACTATACTGCCACAAAAATTTACTGCATAAATAGCAAATGTTAGTGTAGCGCGTGGTAGCCTTGCTGCATTTATCTGATCAATGTTATCTGCAATAATTCATTCTGGGCACTAAACAAGAAAGAGAGGTCTACAGTCATCTATAAAGAGCACTGAAGAGAACTAGAATGAAGAATTCATTTTAAGAAATTTTTATCACAGTTGATTTTGTTAATTCATTTGTTAAGACTCTTTGTGCAAGCTTAGAAATGACACCCTTGTAATGGTGAAATAGACGTAAATAGTATATGCTATTAATGAGCTGTGCTAAAAAAAAATTCAGTGCGATTCCATATTACAATACAAAGTAGCTTCAAAAGCAATATTCTTCTTTCGTAACTGCATTCTAAGCACTTAAACTGAGATTTAGCTCGATAGTAATTAACTTCTGTACACTGCAACACACTGAGCAACAGCTGAAATACTACTGCTTTCAGTGAACTCCTCAACACAACAGCACTTGTGCATAATCTTGTCTATCTTCGTTTGAAGCAGCAAAGTACTAAGAGAGCTCAATGCTGAATACAGAACATTACCTGTTTATGCATTATCTGTTTATGAATACAGAACATTACCTGTTTATGCAACATTACATTACCTGTTCTAAAAGGAAGTTGTCATTCCGCAGTTTTATGCCACTGGAATAAAGGTGAGTCATGCCCCCTGAAGGATGACACTAGAAAAGTGGAGCTTTGTAACATACACACTCACTTCTAGAGTGCCAACACGCGGATGCTGAAGCCCAACTCGCCAAAAACAAAGCATCGATTTAAGCAATTCTTTCATTTCTTCATATGATCACTCGATAGAGTGCAGTTTCTTGACACCACCACACTCTTTGTGCTCTACCGATGACAATGCAAACCCCTGCGAGTTTGCTGCAACAGTGTCAAAAGAGGAAGGCCACTGGTACTGCTGTTAGTGGCAGCTGCTTACAAAGCAGCAACATGTGGATAACAGAGGCCGTTATGTTTCCAACAAGCATGCACAAAATTTGAGAACCACATGTCCATTCAATGTTAGCAGAGCAGTTTTTGCTTAACCCCAGCAGCTATGACAAGCAACTGCGCTGGAGTTTTCTAAAATGAGCAACAGTGCCAACTTACACCTACCTCGAGTTAATGTGACATTACACTACCTCTTGTTGAGAATGTTTGTATGTGTGCCTAATGTTATACGTGCCTAATGTTATACTAACCAGGTGAAGCAGACAGAACACATGACTTAAACACTTACATATTGTCAAAAAAATTGTACTCTCCTTCAGAGTCAGCTCTGCTGACTCACCTCATTTTCAAATGCCCCCTTCTCAACTTGCCTCCTGTGCCTGCTTTTTGTCGGCCGTGCTGGTTGGCCATTCAGACTCCCCATTCTTCGGCCAATCAAACAGCAGGTTTCTGCGAATTACATGGCAGATTAGGCCTGGAACATTGCGGAGTCCTCCTAGAAGGGATCGATGAGTGGAAAGGTGGCGCTGCGTGGTTCCAAAAGATCGGCCAAGAAGCACGCTGTGCCGGCCAGCCCTTCGAACAAACTGTAAGGGCAGTCGGGCGTGCGTGCCTGCTTGAACTCGTCGGTGAACATGAACTCGGCAAACTGGCGTGCTCGGTGAAGCCAGCGCAGCTCGGTCGTCAGTCGATAAAGCAGCAAAAAGGCGTAGCCGCTGCCCCCGATGCCGTGGCAGATGCTGGGGCCCTTGCGCAAGAGGCCCCGCTCCCAGATCACCTGGCCCGAACGCAGGCACGACTCCAGGTAGCGTGGGTCTTGCCAAGTCAAGTACGCTTTTGCCATCAGCTGCATCACACCTGGATAGACAAAATAGCAGTAAAAGTAATGGTAAACCATAGCAAGGGTGGTTTTCTGACTACACTTTCTTTCAGCGCTGAGGACATTAAATAAATGAGCAGGGGTTATCATCCAATTTCTTAATCGACCATGTTTCTGATAGCCAGAATACAAGCTAAGGGTAGCCACTTGGTGTGCTGACGAATGCTCTGCACAGCATTATGCCTGTGAAACAAACACATGCTATAAACAAGTTCAGAAGATTAAGGCTTGAAGAGATGAATGTTCTTGAATGTTTCAAAGAGTCCGCTTGCCAAAAGGTTGGCTTCAAAAACAGCCTATGCTCGAGAACATTATACTGTAGACAGGTGTCAAAGGCACTGCGCGAGTGTCATGTGGGATTTTCGCTGTGTGTTTTCGTAAGCTACTGAGCCCAGTGAAAAGTGAGAATAAAACAAGAATGATGATGAGGACGAGTGGCTTTGAAAGGAGTGGGCTGATCTGTGAGACGAGGCAGCATTTCTTTTCTTTTTTCACGGCACCCAATGATTATGTGTTAGTCATTATAAGAGAACAGAGTTTTATGTTTCTTCATTATACTTGTTTCTTATAGCTATGGTTCAAAATCTGTCAGGGCAGCCACTGTAGCGGATCATTCTGCCAAGGCTCTGAAGCCAAGGTGTGCACAGTGCTCACTTTTAAGCCCTCCTACAGCGCCATCGCCGCACTGCCCCTTCTGCTAAAAAACAACCTTTTGCATTTAAGCATATAATGTATGTTTTAATGACATATTTTACTTGCTGGCATCCTTCGATTATCCAAAACTTGGTTCTTAAACAAGCTAGTGTGTCTCGCACTCCGCTGTGAAATGTCTCCCCATGCACATGTCTTATCAGTATCCTTGTAAAACGATTTTTTTCCAGGTGTTACTATCGGGTGCTTTTCGTTAAATGTCATACTTGTCTCTTGAAATCACCCTTCTAATCTTAGTATGCCTTGTTTATCTGTGAATACCTGACATTTCCTTATTGTCTCATGTGCTCTGACTTTCTTCAGTTCTTTGGTAAGCTCCACATTTTGTTCTTGCCAAGTAATACGATTCTTCCCGGCCTCAATCTCTTGAGCTCTTAGAGGACCATATACTTTGCCCCGTTGAACATTGCTGTAGAAGCAAAACACCCAAGCTATTACCCCTTTCTTAAAACACTGCTCCTTTGGTCAACCTTTCACTCACTTCTGCTGTCACCTATTTTTTCAAAGGATAGCACAATGTATCATCATCCATATTCCATGTCATTCTTAGAACGTTGGTTTCACTTAATCATGTAGGAACGGCATTTTGATTCTCAAAAAAAGTATCTCCACCTCTTCCCTGTTCCATCTTCATTTCGTTAGGTTTATTCCTGCTCTGCCAAAAATTTCTTTTGCGTCGCTGTATAAACCTATTGCTCGAGTTTCGTGCTTTGCTCCAATCAAGATATCATCAACGTAAATTGAATTTGGAAAATTATTCACCATTTTGGGAATGTTTTCCTGTTCTTGATTCAGGCAATGCTGTATTTATGCTACCAGCAAGAAACTGCTTGGCATTGTCACCAAATGTCGCCCTGGCTATCCTTCATGCAAGGATGTCTTCTTTAGTTAAATCGCACTGTTCGTTTTTCTACCCCCCCCCCCCCCAAAAAAAAAAAAAAAACGAAAGACGTCTAGATCTTCTTCGTGAATACTGATCTGCAAGAATGCTTTTCCCACGTCTGCGGTCATTGCAACTATGTGTTTGCGAAAGTTCATTATCAGTGCCAGTATGTTTGGATTCAAGTTTTCTCCTGCCTCTAGGTTTTATTTCAAAGACATTTCTGGTGTCATTCACGACGTAGCCTCAAACACTATCCTCTCTCTTGTTGTCAGTCAATCTTCTTTAATGACTGCTTGATGAGGCATGTAGTATGCAACGTGCTCAGATTCATCCGACGTCGCTAGCTTTGTTACTCCCGATGTAGAGTACCGTATTTACTCGATTCTACCGCGCCTTCGATTGTAACGCGCACCCGATTTCCACGACGAAAAAAAAAAAAAAAGTAAGACATCGATTGCAATGCGCACCCATTTTTCTCGCTGGCCCGCGCAATCACACCACTCGAAAAAACGACTCCTTTCGGAAGCGTCTTCCATTTAAATATGAGGTACGGGCGAAACTTGTGCCCATATGACGTGTAACAGAGCATTGCCGTCACTGTAGTTTTACCGTGGACCGATGTCAGCACGCAAACTTGCTTCGCCCCCTTCTTCTCGACAGTTGTGGTGCCAGGCATGTCGAAGTAAAGAGGCGTCTGATCGGCATTCCCGATTTGCCCGAACAGGTAGCCGTTGTTGTGCCGCAAGTTTAAGACGAACCTCTGAAAACTGTGAAGCATTTCATCGTACTCCTCCGCAAAACTTTTCGCATATGCCCATTCCCCTTCGGAGGAAAAAGCCTTTTCTCTTCATAAAGTTAGTTAGCCAGTACCTGCTCGCTTTAAACTGGCTCCGCATTAGACCTTTTTCTAAGGCTAATTGCGTAGCCTGCGCTTGGAGTTCTGTCGTCACGGGCTGCTGTGCCGCTTGCTGCTCAAGCACATACTCGCCGAGCAGCTCTTTAATTTGCGGAAACCGACCCTGCTGTGGTTCACTGAAGCCATTGTGTGAAGCTTTGCTGTCGACAATCTTCTGCTTTTGTTTCCGCCAGTCCCGCACGCACGTTTCGGGAACTCCGAACGACCGCGATGCTCCCGATTTCCGTCCGTTTCTGCACACGCGATGACTGTTCTTTTAAAAGCAGCATCGTGGTACACTCGAGTTTTTGGAGTCGGCCCTTCCATGCCGTCGATGCTAATGCACTACAAGATGACAAACTCCTCAGCACACGTACGAAGTGCCGCACATGGGAAACACATAGGCAGAAATGGCCGATGCGCCATGCCGACGCACGTAGGGGGCGGCCATTTTGGAAATACCGATGGCAATAGAATGACCATATTCATTTTTTTTTTCGTACTCAATTCTAACGCGCATGCGATTTATGAACTCGCTTAACCGGAAAAAAGGTGCGCGTTAGATTCGAGTAATTACGGTATTCTTTCATAGCACGGTTGTATCTTTCTCTTAGTGCAGAGTATTTCTGAAGCCATTTAGATATTTGCATCAATTTCCCAATTGCCATTTCTTTGTCATCTTCCATGTTCACCATTTCATACCATGGTAGTCTTACTTTGTATCTATCTCCATAACTCTCCACCGTCTTTTCAAATGATGCAAAAAGGTGCTCAACTCTATGCAACCTGTTCTTTGTTTCTGTTACTCCAGTGTTTTCGAGCTCCCAAAATTTTTGGATGGCATTCGTTATCTTGTCTGTTCTTTCTGTAGCGTAAAGAACCATGACTGATTTTGCTTCTCTGACATACGATTCTGCATTACATGGTCCGCATACAATTCAAACCAGAATGCTTTCTACAAGCATTGTGTGTTCCTTTAGTCTTTTCCCTTGTCCAGTTATTGCCTGTCAGTAGAAATCAGATCCTGGGAGCTAGCTTGTTTCTTACGTCGTAAGTTTTTTATGGTTGTCGTCAGCGATTTTCATTCCCATCTTTTTCTTATAGGACTTTGAATAGTCATTTAGGCTACAGAGTCTCGTTCTTGATATCATGTCTATTTTAATAGCCTCCATTACTAGTGATTCTCCATCTGGATTTTCCTTCTGTGCAATTTCGACAACGTTCATAACACTTTCACTTTTGTTTCCTCCAAATGATTCAACTGTCAGTTTTTCTTTGCAGAGTGCCTTGCAACCAATTCTTCGTGACAGACTGGTTTGCATGAATGATCTTTGGCTTCTGCTGTCTAATAAAATTCTTGCGTACTCTCTTTTACCTTCACCTTCTGTTCATGTCATGGTCGTCTGCAACAGAACACGATGGCATTCTTTTTGCAGATTAGAAGATGCTAGCATGTTTCACGATTTGTTAACAGCCATATTGTCATTCTATCCCTCACTTTTATTATTATGCTTGCTGGCTTTACAGACCTTTGTTCTGCACATAGAAGTTGCGTGTCTTGCTTTGCAACGCTTACAAACCACCGTGTCTTTACAAACTCTTGCACTGTGATTTGGTCTCGTGTACCTAAAGCACCTGTTTCTTCTCGAAGTTTTTCTTTTTTGTCGTCATATTTTAGTGACCCTCTACAGTCTTCAGTGCTGAGAGAAACAACATCATTTTGTGATGGAGCTCTCAAATATGAAAGTTTTGCTTGTGAAGTTTGATCGGTTGGTCCATTTTCTGCGAGGGCGGTCTTCCCCGTCTTCGAAACTTTCTCTGCACCTTACTTGTTCTTGCAAAAATGTTATCAATCTTTTTAGTCTATCTTCACTAGTACCGATGTTGCTCTCTCCTTTTGAAGTTGCTGCTCTCTCTTGCGTACTTTGCCTTTTATTCTCGTGAAATTGGTATTCAATGAACAGTTCTTGTGGTGTGCAACGCTTTACGATCAGCATAAGCATCATAGCGTACAAACGCACAACAACTCCAAGCGCTCCCAATGCGTTCGTGTGCACTTGCACTGTCTGGCAAAGTTCGCGTAAGCCTTTGACATCTTTTGGATTCTTAACTGGTGCTGATTTGATCAATGCATTCATGTGAATTTCTTTCAAATGTTTTTCATAGCCAAATTCCTCTTTCAAAAGCTTAACAGCTCTCTGGTAATTTTTATTGGAGTGTTGTCCTCTTTCAATAAAAGCTGCTGCCTTTCCGTAAACGACAGATATTAGGTAGTGGAACTTTTCACTTTCCGTAAGTTATGCCGAAGATGTATCGTGCTTTCAAACTGCATCCAAAATCTTTGCCACATCAGCTTGCTGCAGTTTAACCTGAACATGTCTATTTTTGGCAATTTCCCGTGACAATCAGTAATCTGATTTCCTGACACTGTCTGTTCAGTTCTTGTTATTTCCATGAACAGTTGTCCATCATGCACGGTGACTCTTTTT